ACGATTTTTTAATTTTTGTTTAGGGGAATCGGCAACGTTGTTGCGCGATGAAGTTTACACCAACAGTAACGGTTTTGTACAAGTGCAAAGGGAAGCTGATAGCTGTGAACTTGATAACAGTGATGACGATTTAAATACACCACCACCTTCTTTCACACCAGTTTATGGTCCAATTGATGTGGAGCAGCATACCAAACCTACACCCCTACCAGTTGGCACCCAAACAACTCAAAATAAGTCAAAGCTGAAAAAAAAGGTTAACCAGCAAGTTGTCCTTGAGATGCAATACGAAGTCCTCAAGGTGCAAAAGGAAATGATTCTGCTGAAAAATGAGAGACTGAAACTACAGGTAGCGGAGTTGAAAGAAAGGGCAAATGGCAGTAGCAATGGCAATTTTTGATTGAGGGATTTATAATATTTATATCGGGGGTGACATGGACATTGCTTGAAATCATTGTGTACTATAAGTGTACACAGTAAATTAATTACATTATTGAGAATATTACTTGTATTTCATTATTACAGCATTTGTGTTACAGTGGGACCAGTTTTATTATAGGTTCTAGGTCAATCATTTAATGTTGAAAGGTTTGCTGCAGCCAATAAATCAAATATGTATAAATAAATATTGCAAGATCTTTCAGACATACCTCTTGTTTTGGGGCCCCAGCTAGTGCTGTTGTGTATAATATAAGTTACTATAGAATGTGCTTAATTATCTTGTATTTCCCAATTCTAATATTGAAATAATTTCAGGAAAAATGTATTGTAAATTGTTGTGTGGCATATATGCATGCATGGTACATATTTCAATTAAAAAAAGTTATTTGTGATATGTGCCCTGATTTGCCTTCCTGTGTCATGGCCAACCTGTGGTTCAACCTCTGGATCTGGTTCTTCTAGATCAACATCCTCTTCTTCATCTGGCTCATTAAACATTATTGCAATATTCTGAAGGACAGCACAAGCACCAATTAACAAGCAGACTTTCTCTGGTTCCATTCTGATCTCTGAATGCAGTAGGTGGAACCTTCTCTTCCATCGCCCAAACACTTGCTCAATCAATACGCGTGTTTTCTTCAAAGACCGATTAAATGCTCTTTCCTTTGCTGTAGTAGGGTCTGTGTAAGGTGTCATAAGGTAGGGTTTTAAGGCGTAACCACTATCTCCCAATATGATCCCATCTTCCAGTGATGTGTGATGCTGCTCTATAAACTGTTGTATCTGTGACATTCGAAATATATGGCTGTCATGGACACTTCCAGGCCATCGGGCAACCAGATTTATGAACTTTCCTAAATGAAATGTGAAGAATGTTTGCTTTTCGACTGTATTCCATGCATTCCACCAGTATTAACAGTATCCCTACTTTACTATAGTAATTGTAACTATAATTGGTACATATAGAGTATAATAATTTACCTCGATCGTCGCAAATTGCTTGAACATTAATAGAATGATAGCGTTTCCGATTGACGTAATAATTCTCGTTTAGATGTGGTGCCTGGATTCGAATATGCGTACAATCGATACAACCAATAACGCCAGGAAAATTGGCCATGTCGTAAAACCCGTTCTTTATTTTCTCTTTTTCTTGATTTGAAGGCTAACGAATGAACGGTTCTCGTTTGATAGAGCGAGGCATACGTCACGAACTACTCGCGATACGGTGGACTTGTCAACGCCAAATGTGTCTCCGATAACCTGTAGGAAGCTTCCGCTTGCGAAAAACCGTAGTGCGATGAGAACTTGGACGTCGGGAATTAGTGAAAAATTTCTTTTAGTGTCACGAATAAGGTCATCGTATAGCAAATTTGTAATGTAATTTATTGCTTGGTAACCAAATCTGTATCTAATTCGCAATTCCGCATCAGTTAAACCTCGAATGTTCACGTTATCGTGACGATATCGCCTTTGTCTGCGAGGAAAATTCCGTATTGGTACAACAAACTGTAAAACATCCGCCATGTTATTTTGCACTTAACCTAGGATTAAAATTTTAAACCACCTAGCTAGCAGGGTTAATTTTTTTATCAATTTTAACCCAGGGTTAACGCTAACCGAGCTTTGTGCAACGCAAATTAACCAAAGTTTAACATTTAACCCTGGGTTAGGCATTTTTAACCCTGGGTTAGCGTTAACCGGCTTTTGAACAACCGGCCCCAGGGGCATAAAATCTATTGAGCTTATAAACAATATGAATTTTAGAATATTAAGTGGTTGCGTTTTTTTTATACACCCTGTATATAGTTTTAGCATGCAGTTGCATCTTTGTGCATCAACAAGTTTTGTTTAAACAGATATAAATAAATCAAAACATGATCATCACAAATTCAGTCATCCCTTGAGACGTATGTTAGAACAGCGAATTTGCATTAATTATATTCAAATCTCACCCATAACGAGAACGGATCGCGGGTTTTTCCCATCAAATCGATTCATAGCTGGCAAAAGCTGTTCATCAAGAAAATGGATAAATGAGCGTGTTTCAAATCTTTCTTCGGGATTCTTCAACAAACAGTTCGCAAGAAGTCCATCACACGATATTGCCGAAATAATGGAATAGCGCGGTGTCCACCGTGCATAGCTATAGTCGCTCACAACAGGCGGTATCCCACGAGCACTATATCCATATTGCCGAGCAATTCGTTTATCCTTTAAACGTAGAACCAAATAAATAAGAGATCTACTAGTTTGTGCAATCCAGTTACAGTAAGGTATTATTTAGTACGTACAATGCCTGTTTCATCGAGGAAAACGAGCTGGTTTGGGTCAAAAAGGCTGATTTCGGCCATGAATTGTAGCCTAATATCGTCTCTTCGCTGAAGGGCAATTCTCTGTATCTGAAAAAGAAAATGTGGCTTGAAGAGTTGATAAAGAACAACTAGAATCTTGTAATAAATTGGAAAAAGGTGGAATGGCTTGGTCTTATTAATATGGTTATATGATTTCCAGCGTGCGGTATTAAATATATATTCCAATTTAAATAATGTCATAATGTTCGTACCTTTTTGCGTGTTATTCCAAGCCTATAGAGAGCTCGGCACAGTGTCTCCGGGCCAAATGAAGAGCCAGTAGCATTAATGATATAGCTTGCTATCTCATTCAACTGCATTTGCGGCGTTCGCAGTAAACAGTCCATTATAATGTATTCTTCGTGTGGGAATAAAGATACGCTCCCTGTTGGGCGACCCATACGGCAAGGCTTCACATCACCCGTGTTCCAAAAGGTGCTTAGAGTACGATAGACGGTTTTTGAACAAACAAATAGCTGTGCTGCAATTTCGTCGATGCTTCTTTCGTAGAACAGTCGTTGATAAACCATTCTCCACCTTAAATCATCCGAATACGGTCTAGGCATTTTCTAATCGTTCACCTTGCTACTCGAACTCGCAATTAACACGCTTGTACAATCCCACGCGTGTTGATGCATTATAATGTCACGTGATCGATATAAACATATACTTGCTCAGGACAACCTTTTTGACAACGACAGTATATATACAGTATATATATATATATATAATATATATATATATATATATATATATAATATATATATATAATATTATATATATATATATATATATATATATATATATATATATATTATAATTATTATATAATATATAAATAATATATATTATATATATATAATATATATATATTATATATATAATAAATATATATATTATATATATATATATATATATATATATATAAAATATAATATATATATAATAATATATAATATATATATATTATATAATATAATATATATATATATATAAAATATATATATATATATATTATATATATATATATAATATATAATATTAATATATATATATATATATATATATATATATATATGTCATTCCAACTTCCAAATGCTAATTAGAAGTGAATATAAAGTAGAAATATAAAAATAATGATTTTCGGGAGCTTTTCGGTTGGGTTATATTTTTTAAAAAAGATAACTATATATAGGCACGCCAATTTGAGGCGGATAACGCAAATTGAGGCTTGATAATTCTCGATATCACGCGAAAACCGAATTCAAAAATTGTTTCCTTTTTAGAGAGGAAGCTTGCGCCATATTATTGACAACAAACTATAGCGGCAAAAAATTACGTCAACTACGGATAATTTTCATATCGTGCAGGTGGCAAGACATCAAGAATTATCACAGGGTGCCTTCCTCAGCGTTTGTTCTTAAAATATCGTTGTAAAAACTAATGCTGCAAAAATGACAAGAAACGACTTGCAGTTGAATTTAAGAATATTTTCGACGAGAAAAACAACTTTCAGTTGAATTTAAAAAGTAAACTCCGAGGTAAATTTGACAACAGTCTACAAGAATTGAATAGAAAAAATAAAGGCAACTTTTTTATAAACGTACATGAAGTACTTCATCGTGGAGCCTTAAGCACTGATGTGTTGGACCGCGAGCGCAACAAGTGACGTCAGGGCACACGCTGGGAGGGGAAAAAGAATAAAGGGATGAAATCATGTGCTCCGCTCCGCAGCCTCCGCGCGCATATAGCCTGGACAGCTCGTATATTGTCGGGAGTCATCAGGTTTATGCGGAAACCAAAAACGCGCGAAATTTAAACTTCAAACAATGATGCTCGGTGGTGACAGGGTTTTGCAGGAATTTGAAGAAATCGTTGATACAACCGTGCGTAATAAAGCAAATGCGTTAAAAGAAAGACGTATAATTAATTGGTAAGTGTTTTTCTTTATATCATTGCTCAGCGATGCGTAAACTGTCCACTTTAGCGTGACGGTCTAATATACACACAAAGCGTAACAAATTTATGGTGATATTTAATATCTGATAGGATGTTAAAGACGTATATGATGTGTCATGGCACACATAACATTTCAGTTTCTAAATTAACCGACGATGTTAATCAAGTGCTTTTATCTACAACATCGAAAGAGAATAATCGCCCTTTGAAAGAACATGAGCTCGGGCGGATTATAAAGCGTGTATTTCCCACAGTAAAAAAAGCCAAAATAACTGTTACTAAAGATGGGATGACGAAACGTGAACCAGTGTACGAACGAATGTTTGTTGTTGAATCAACACAAAAATTTCTGAGCTGGGATTATATTAAGAATTATTCTCCCGCAGGGGCGTAATTAGAACGATAATTGGGGGGGTGAATATTCATATATTCAGTTCTGCCCGACGGATTTCTATTGTAGGCTATTGCAATTACAAAAGAAATCCGTAGGGCAGAATTGGATATATAAATATTCACCCCCCCCCCAATTATCGTTCTAGTTACGCCACTGTATCTCCCGAAGCAATGTTCGCGAACAAGTGGACACTATCAAAGGCAAAGGAAACTGATGAATACGTGGAGTGGATAAATGTATCCTGCGATTCTTGCAATGGCGAAAGAGTCGTGAAGTCTCTGATGATTTTCAACAATTTTTCGTTCAAATTTTTCATTGGGTCACACGAAGTTGAATTAGAGGATCATTGTACAGTCATCCGTGTCAATATTATTTAGATGGTCTATTTTCCTACATGTTCAGCGTTCCAATATGTAATGGCTTTTCCGTTGAAGTGGACAAAAAAACTACGGATAAATCTGGAAATCTTGTAGGATTGACAGAACAGGGGTCAAATTTATTAGATAGCGAGTCGACATCACTGCGACACCAAGCAATTAATTGTGCATATATTTTCTCTGTTCATGAAAAGATGTGCTGCGGCTGTTCTACAATAAAGCACAATTCATACTATAAAAGTTTGAAAGAAAGTCATGCGTGCAAAGAGAAAGCTCTTTTCGCACCACAAAAGAGGGAAACGTACATGGGCGAAGAGGAGCTCAAAGAAAACTACAACAAGAAAAGAGAAGGCGCATAAATTGTGAACGTCGTGAACGATTCAAGCAGGATATTATAGATAACATGCACACATTTGCAGAAGAAGATAGCAACGACTTTAATACGATGTTTAGTAATATTGACGAGAATGAACTGAACCCAGACTTGAAAGTGTTTTGGGAAGCACAAAAGAAGGCCATGGAAATGAAAGACGGAAGAGAAAACAGATGGCATCCAAAGTAAGTGTACATGTATATATTTTTATATTGTTAGCTTCTTTGGATAATTTTATGATTTGGCTGATGTATTGTACGTATTATAGAATAACTACACCGAGCTTATACTATATTAGACCTTGTTATTTGATATTCGTATTATTTATAGCACTTTCCAGTCGGGGATTTTCCCTGAAATATAAACAAACTGGAGAGTACAGAACTGTTGATACCTTATTAAATCATTCCATGGAATTTATATAGAGTAATAAGCATGGCCTTCGAATAATAAATGTGCATATATTATTTTATTATTTAGGATGATTCGCCTTTGTCTGTCATTGTCGATAAAAAGCCAAAAATCTATGAAGAGCTAAGACAAAGTGGTGTTCTTGTTTTTCCTTCTTGGATGTTACTTTCTTTACACAAGAATTCAGTGAGCCAAAAGCCCAAAACCCAGGTCTTAATGACGATGTCTTAAATTGGATGATAGGAGAGGCGGACAAGATTAAACCGACCGCATTTGGCAGAGAAGGTGGT